GCGGGGGGGGGGGGAACATTCCTGGGGGTACAAAGGGGGGGGGGGGGGGGGGGGAGAGGGCGGGAGGTTGGGGATAAGTGGGTGGAGGACATGGGGTACAAATGCAATTTGTGGTAATGGGTACACTATCAGTATGAATCTGGCCCTCACATCATGGGCACGAGGGGTGACAATCAGCTTTGTATCTCAGGAATAATCATAACCAATAAAAAACAAATAAAAAAGAATAAGTCATATCTCAATAAAAATGTAATTAAAAAACCCACTTACACTAATATCAAAAACCACTGAATGTATAGGAACAAATCTAATGAAAATGTCAAGACTTCTACCCAGAAAATACAGCTGAGAGAAAGTAAAAAAAACCCCAAATCCTAAATACATGAAGGGATAACCCATGTTTATAATATAATAGAGAGAGAGGGTTATAAAATAGTGGGAAAGGATGAGCTACTCTATAAACAGTAATGAAGAATGTGAAAAAAGACATAAATTAGAGTCAGTTTTAGGCAGCAAACCAAACTGGAGACTTAAATAACTAAAATACTTGATAAATAGTTTTAAACTATGAGTACTTTTAAATTCATCACTAACCTGATAAGAAAGTGAAGTGAAGAATACCAGGAAATAATCGAATCCCTAGGCTGGCTTTTGCTATAATAGCTTTTGTTAACCTTTGAACTTCTGCTTTAAAGATTGCGTTGTGTGCCTAGGACAGAGATAAAGTCCAGGGCCTGCCAAAAGCTGGGATTATAAATCCAAAGATTATAAAACATAAAAGGGCATAGATACTGTGGTTGAAAATTTAGCAGAAGCAATAAACAGCAAACTAACTAAAATGCAATATAAATAAAATAAATATAAACTCAATAAATCCAAATTATATTTGAATTATCAGATACAGAACATAAATAACCATGTTTAATATATTTAGAAATAAAAGGGAAACTTGAAAAATAAAACAGCAGAGAACAATCAGATTTGACAAGAGCTAAATAAAACTTTGAGAAATAAAAATCAAAATAATTGATGAATTAAAACTCAGCAGATGAGACTTCACTGAAGAAGGAATTAATGAATGGGATAATGGATAAGAAGAAAGTATCCAGTGACAAAGAAATGAAAAACATAAATTAGAGATTAAAAGAAAAGAATGATACAATAATAATAGATTCAGTAATAGGAAAATAAAGTGACTCTGAACAGTGTTCCAGAACAAGACAATAGAAAGGGGGAGAGCTGATAATCCATACAGGAAAAAAAATGACACAGGGCCCCTCTCTCACATACACATAAAAATTAAATCACAGCTGGATCATTAACCTAAGCATAGAAATTAAAACTATAATTCTTCTAGAGGTAAACATAGGAAAATATACTCATGATCTTGGAGAGGGCAAAGATTTCTTAGCAAAGAGGCTAAAAGCATTAATCTTAGAAGAAAAAAATTGATAACAGGAATTTCATCAAGACCAAAAATGGCTGCTCATCAAGAAATATCATTAAGGAAATAAAAAGGCAAGCTACAGACTGGGAGAAAATATTAATAATACATATAACTGACAGATGACTAGTATTTAGAATATCGAGTTACAAAGGACACTTACAAATTAATAATGAAAGAATAAACGCGCAAGGGACTTGAAAAGACACACACAAAAAATATATGAATGGCCAGTAAGCACATGAAAAGGTGCTCAACATCATTAATCATTAGGGAAATGACAATTAAAACCACTGTTAGACCACTCCACACCACTAATACGTCTGAAATTAGTAAAACAACACTATATGTTGGTGAGGATGTGAAAGCAACTGAAACTCTCATACTTCGTTGGCGGGAGCATAAAATGGCACAACCACCTTGGAGAACTGACGTCCCCAATGTGTTATGAACTACGCTTTAACTTTCCATCATTTGGTTACATGGGTCAGAATATCCCTCTTTTGCTTAAGCTAGTTCAAACTAGGTTTCTCTGGCTAGCAGCCAGTAAATTATGGCTAACACTTTTAAGACATATAGACTGTGCTTCTGGTTATGTGCTGTTGTTATGCTAGGCAATGTGGAGCCAGGACCATTTAACCATGGGTCCTTTAGGGCAAGGGCTTGAATTGTCCTGCTCAGATATGCATCCGCAGAGATAGCAACTCTAAATGTGACCCAGCTGCCATTAGTTGCTCTTTCCCTGGCCGCACACTTCTGTTTTCTCCCTACAACACCCTTCTACAGACAATCTGGGTCAAGCAACATGAATGAGTAAAAAGGAAGTAAGAAGGAAATGAGAAAAATCATAAAATAATAAATGGCAATGGTAAAATATTAATTTGAAAACAAACTTTGGAGACTACATAACATACACGCAGTCTACATGACCATAAATTAAATATCTGCAAAAACGGTGTGTAATTTTCATGGTTACGTACAGAGTGGTCCTCAAGAAAATGCTAGTGGCAATAGACACAGCCCTCTATTTATGTAAGACGTTAAGTAAGATATTTGCATTTCTGAGGATTAAAGTAACTGGATCTTATGTAGACTAGTGGGCACATACAAGAACTTTCTGAACTGGGGTTTACATTTTTAAAATGTTAGACAAATGCAGCAATAAATCAAATGGAAAACCCACGGGGTATTTGTTACCTTCAAGTTTCCATTTACACATAAATAACCTCAATCTACCAGATTGACTTTTGGGTATAGGTTCTTTCCTGAGCCCTGTATTCCTCGGCTTTCAAGCACTGGGGAAACCAGTGAGATGAGATTTATATCTGGCTCAACATCATTGCTATGGGAAGAATTCATTCTTTGGTTCTTTGTGGATCTTAGCAGCCAAAATGACCATTTCCTGTTTGTCTTCATCATACTTCCCATCCGACCTTTCTTAACATGTAGAACTTTTAACAAAGAATAACGCATACCTGTGTCATAATGCACGATAAGTCTTTCACTGTGATTGCCCACACTCTGTGGCTCAAACGCCACTTCCAGTTGCATGGACTCTCCCACATTAAGAGTTGCAACAGTTGGCTCTACAGAGAAAGGCCTGCAACACACAGGGAGACACATCATCAGAGCTCATTTCTGACTAGTCTGAGAGAGGAAGGAGAGGAGACATAAGTTCTAGTTCTGCAGGCAGCTCAGACCCGATACTCCAATTCCATGGTCCAGAAGTGAAGTATACTTTCCTCCCTAATGTGAAGGAACTTTAGTTTTAATGTTAAAATAACAGTATGTAATAGATCATCAACATGTAAAGGAAACAGATGCAATAATATTTTTGTTTGTGTTCTTGCCATTCAGAGCTTCTTTTAACATTGATTGAGTGTTCCTGCTGGGCTTAGGAACTGGTTAGGGCAATCGCAAATGAATAAAATCCAGCTCTTATCCTCGAACACTGAGATTCCAGTAAGGGACAGACTTAAAATATGTGTGCAAATACTGTCATTTGCAAAAGAACAGTGCCTTCAAAGAAATAAACATCAGGTTTTGCGAGAGTTCAGAGGAGAGAGGGCATCATACTGGAAAAATACATCAGAGTCCCAAAAGGAAAGTGACGGCACAATCACATTAGGATACTCCAGCATACTCTACGTAAGAGGTGGGAAGGGTGTAGGAGAACTACAAGAGATGATGCGACAGCCCAGGGTGAGCACCTCTAGCCCAGAGAGCCATGGGAAGGAGTGGTTTTGAAATCCACAAGGAGAGTCCCAAGAGAAGGCTGCCTTGTGAGGGGCAAGGAGCTTTAGCCAAGGGAGCCAGCCAGCCCAAGTGGCCTCACAGGGAATACACCGGGGGAAAAGTGTCCTGACCTCATCTCCCTTCTGTCTGATTGCCCGCAGGGACTCTCTCTGGATGAACCCAAGCAGAAGCCAGAGGCACGGGGCCTGTTGACCCAGGCCACAGAGGTCAGCCTCCTGGGCTAGGGCGGGCTGGAGAAGAGTGGAGCATACATGTGGAAAGGCAAACTGGGGATAAGTTCTGAGTCTTGAAAATAGAATTCGAAGATGTAGACATAGTGGGGGGTGGGGTGAGAGTGGATTTGGGAACAGGAAATAGTTTAGTTTAATTGTCCTGAAAGGGAATAGTCAGAGAAAAGTGGATCTGATCATGAAGTGCCTGAAATAACTTATAGAATTCTTTCTTCTAAATAGGAAACCCAACCCATTTAATTACTTTCATGGTCCATTTCACTTCTTTAAATTGCCAGTTTTTCAAAGTAATGTGTTGTACAATGTATCTGGCAGGCTAAGCTGTTTTTGATTATTTACTTCTATCATAACAGTTTTTAGGGTCATCATTCCTTAAATCTTCTGTTAGATAATGAACTAGTTTCAGGAAACCTAAGCTTTCTGCTATGACAGTAGAGAGCTTATGCCACTGGCCAGTGCTGAAATGATTACTGCAAGACCTCTGGGGCTTCCTACCGGGGGCAATTATTTATTTTCTCTGGTGCTTTCTACTTGGGTCTCTTCTCCAAAAGGAGAGGACTCCCTGATTTCCACCCTTCCTTTCTCTGTCCTTTCCCCATACCCACAGCACCAATCCTCCAGGGAAGCCCAGGCATTGCTGCAGGGGTGCTCTGGGCCGGTGGTGACTAGCCTGGCCTCTGGAGCCAATTGCATGAGTTCAAAACTCAGCCCTGCCATGACCTTGGACAAGTCACTTAACTTTCAGTTTCCTCATCTGCAAAATGAGGACAATGACAGCACCTGCTTCCTAGGTTTCTGCTGAGGACTAAAGGGGTTTCTGCAGGTAAAGTGCTTAGAATAATGCCTGGTACATAGGAAGTGCCACACCAGTGTTTATTATTATTTTTGGTATTGCTATTTTCATCTCCCTGACTGGCTGCCCCTGGATGCTGGGAGATGAACATGAGGATGAGTTTGGGTGTTTAGATGAGTTCAAGCTTTTATCATACTCCCCTCAATCCCTCACACTGCTCTAGAGATACTGTGAAAAAGCACACAGAGGTCACAACACATCAATCTCCTATTCAAACACCTTCAATGGTCCTCATAACCTATGTCATAAAGTTCAAACTCCTAGGCATTTGAGGTCCCACACAATCTGTTCCCAGCCAGTTTTTGCATTCTCATTACACACATGCATCTGTTCGAATATCCTGTCCACCTGTCACATTCCGAGTTGGTGCTGGAGTGGAATGGGGTGGGAGGGCTTTAGTCCCTTCACCCACGACCTCCCCCAGCACTGCTCCTGCTCTCCCGTCCAACCAGACTGTGCCCCCCCCATACGAGACAGAACTGCTAGGGTCGCATCAGAACACTCACCATTTCCCACATGCCATACTCCCTCCAAAGTCACCTATCACAGCCCAGACTAGAAGTCACCTCTTAAAAAGAGTCTTCTCTGATTCTCCCTTTTGTAAATAATGTCTCCTTCCTCTCAGAGGCTATAACTTTCTTTTTGCTCCTTACTGCAGTTTACCTGGTACTAGAGTCAGTTTTCATCTAAACACCCAAGCTCATCCTACGGTTTGTCTTATAGCATCTAGAGTTGCCAGTGAGGGAGATAAAATAGCAATACCAAAATAGATCTCTCTCAATAGCTAGAAGCTCTTGGGAAGAGAGGAAAGGGAAAACAAACAGAATTTCATGAGCACACGGTCTGTACTACACAGGGTGCTTTACATATGTCAATTCTTTTAATCCTTGAAAAAACTGAGAAAGTAGGTATTGTTCTCTGCATTTTAGACATGAGAAAATAGACGCTCCAAAAGGGCAGGCAAGGGCCGGCCCGGTGGCGCACTGCTACAGTGCGCCGCTTGGGAAGTGCGGCAGCGCTCCCGCCGAGGGTTCGGATCCCACATACAGACCGGCCGCTCACTGGCTGAGCGAGGTGCAGGAGCAACACCGAGGGTTGCAATCCCGTTGCCGGTCCCGGTCTGGTACAGGCGCGACACTGAGGGTTGCAATCCGTTGCCGGTCACGAAAAAAAAAGACAAAAAGGAAAAAAATTAAAAAAAAAAAAGGGCAGGCAACTTGCACCAAGTCGCCCAGCTAGGGAGTGGTGGAGCTGGGAGTTCCTATTCTTCCCCCATCCCTGAATGTGGAAGCTGCATGGTTAGATTCATCGTTGTGTCTCTGAGCACCCTGTGCACAGTCTTGACTCACAGGAGCCTCTTGGAAGAGGTTGTTGAATTAAATTACAACGAACTCTTAAAGGAAAAGAAAAGTATCTGTAATCATTAATTAATATTTATAACTTCTTGGTGGAACAGAAAAGGAGCAAGCTTTCAGTATCTCAAGAATCTGTGCTTCATGGGAGATGCAGGTGCGTCTCCCAGTCTCAAAGTCCTTCCCTGCCTTTCTCTTTAGTAAGAATCTGGAGCTGAGGACTGGGTCCAGTTTCCTGGCTTTGAGAACAATGTCACAATATTTTCTTCTATCTTTGTCTCCCTGCTCCCTATTATTTGTCTTCCTGCACTGGACTTTCATTTTCTTCTCAAACATGTCTTGGTAGCAAAAGAACAGTTTTGAAATGGATTGGATATTATTACATTGCAGAATCTAAGCTAATTTTCTATAGAGAAGGTGACATTACTGTCTATTGGGAAAATATAGGAAAATGGTCGGGGCCCCTCAGATGTTCAGAATCTTGCCGAGCATTAGATGTAAATATGCATGTGCACCCAGGTGTCCTGGGTTATGACTTAGGTACAAAGGATGAGCGGCTCTGATCCACAGTGCTCCGCCCTCGGGATACCACCACTACTGCTGCTGGAGGCTGTTGCTGCTGCTGCTGCTAGTGCCCCTGGGACCTTCTGCAAGGCCACCGCCACCACCGGACCTGTAAGCTGCTGCTGAGGACTGAGTTCGTGTCATCTGCCAATAGCTCCTGGAATCTTTCCCAATTACCTAGCATGGACCTGCGTGTGACGGATCTGGGGACCCGGTCTGTACAGTGGGTTTGGAGAGTCTGAGTCCTAGTTCTGACAATATAAATGGAAACTTAGCATAACTAAAATAATGAAACATTTTGGCTTTTAGTTACGATTAGCCCTAGCTTTACAACTGTCCCATTGCTAGGACCTCCAGGAATCCAAATTCTACAGAGTGGTAACAGATACTTTCCTTTTGTGCTAATTGTTGGGTTTAGATCACATGGAACTTCTTCAGTAGTTAGAAAATCACCTGGGATCACCATTGCTAGTTAGAACTGCCTGAGCTTTCTCAATAAATCTGATGTTAATTGGGTGAAGTGTGTTAAATTCTGGTCCTTAAACATTGTCCATAATTTGATTTTGCACTTTATTTTACTACAAGAAGACAGACTGAACAGGCTAGAAATTAGCAAGTATCAGAAAATGCTCTTACAAAAAAAAAGGGTATTGCTCCTCAAGGGTATAAAGCTAGCTCTATCAAAGTGTTTAGTTTTGATATCACATCCTCATTAATACCAAATACTTGGTTATAAAGGGAATTTGGTTTTATGAAAAATCATGAGCCATGAAAAAGACTTTGAGTCTGATCAATTATGAGCTATTCTTATGAACTAAAATTACTCCATCCAAGTGATTGAATATTTTAGCAGAAGACTAAATATTGGTCCTATTATATTAAATACTGAATATTAGTATTTTTTCTTTATACAATCTTTCTTATTTTACTAATTCCTAACTTGAGATTTTAGATTTTGAAATTGCTTCTTAATCCTATTTCACCTTCCAGTAGTAAGCTTACATTAATAGTCAAAGTTATTCTGATGTCTACTAGAGTTTTAGGTCAAATTTGTAATAAAGTCAAGCAGTAATTGTTTATGTTTTCTGTATATTTTAAAAGACACTGCAGCTCCTTTTATTAGTGTTAAAAACATTATACCTATTTTATAATACTTGGAAAATGTTTTTTTATTTTAAATTATTGTAGAGGTTGATAGGTGTGATAGCTTTGCCTTTGTGATATGTTGGCTAGGCATCTTATAAACATTTATTGAGTGCTTATTAATTCTAGACACTTTGCTAGATGCTGGGGACATACAAATGCAGAGTTAGATATAATCACTGCATCTGAGAAGCTCACATCTTACTAGGGGCAATAGGAATGTAAAGAAAAGTTTTACTTTTTATAGTTTAGGTGAATCTAATAAATTCATAAACTTAACTATTAGTTAAATAATATTTCAATGAGAAAAATATGCTTTTTAAAAATTTTAACATTTACTTGTACAATGATCTGTTTTTGAAACAATTTCCTATGAGACACTGTTTCTAGCTGTATATTGACACTACAAGTGGCAGTACCATGAATAGACTCTGGGCTTTTGCTTCCAAATTCTCAAACTATCCATTGCTCTTCCATGTCTATTAACAATCATATTAACTGAAGTGTCCTGTGGGGGCAACAGAATCACCTATGCAGTTTTTAGAATGGAAACTTATCATGGGATCTCCCCAGAGATGCTGATTCAATACGATGTGACCACAAATTCAACCACATCCTTTCTCATTGTAGCCATCAGGGCACTCCACTTGCAAACTGTGGTTAATTTAAACAGAGAAGAAATTGATCGGAAGGATTTGAGTTAACTCACAGAATCGATGACGGTTGGAAAACATGCATTTTGTGGAAAGGACATAAAACTACTATTTCATGAACAGCCTAAATAGGAAAACACAAATATTTACAGAATTCACTTAAGAGACTTGGTTACACAGAAGATGGGAAAGGTGAGAAACCCAGCTTAAGATGGTGAGATAGCTCAGGGATTAGTAACAGCAGTGAGCCATTTCCATGCCTGCACTGGAGGCAAAAGGAGAGGAGGAAGTGTTATCAGATTCTGGGAAAGTGATTTTGCATGAATCTAATATGTAAAAGAAAATTGCCATTTATATGTAGTTTTTAAGATTCACCCAAATGGTCCGGGAAGATATGCTGCTTACACTTGTTTCTCCACCTTAGGTGGATTCTCCTCTTCGTAGAAAAAAATACCAATGTAACAGGACATTTCTATTGTGTATTATGGATAGTGGATGTGCGAGACCATTTTTTAATTGAAAAAGACAGGTTCTTTCTAAGTCATGGTGAGCCATTTGAACAACCTGATTCCTTCTCCCTCAGTCAAATTGTGCAAGGCCCACCATGAGATGACAAAGCCTGTAAAAGTGCTTATGAACAATGTCACTGATTTCCAAAAGAAATTGTCCTTTGCCTTTGATGGCTGATTTATTTAAAGTAGTTCCAAGGATCTAGCTTGCACCTAGGATGCAGAAAACTGGAAAGTGTGTTTCTTTCACCCTAAGAATGAAAAAAGCATATAAACAACAAAATCACAACTCTTCATGAACCCGTCAGAGAGCTGAGGTTGGAGGGTAAACAGCATTCTGAAATCTAAAGACAGTCAATCCTCCGACTGCAAGGGAGATGGGACATGTGCAGACTGTTTCATCTGCGGCTTTCACCTGTGGCAGACTTCCTACAAGCAGAAGAAAAGGTGAGAGAGGATGGAGCAGAAGAAATATTTGAAGAGGCCATGGCTGAGATTACCCAAAAATAATGAAAGATCCAGGAAGCTCACAGAAGCTCAAGCAGGATTAAAACCAAAGCCAAACAAAAGCAAAGCAAAATTCTTTTTTAAAAAAGCAAAACAAAAACAAAACCTACACCTGGCCTCATCATATTCAAACTGCCAAAAAGCGAATATAAAGACAAAACCAAAAAGCAGCCCAAGGAAAGAAAAACTAATTACATACAGAGGGACAAAGATAAAAATTACAGCACACTTCTCATTAGAAAAATATAAGCCAAAGGACAACTGAGTGACATCTTTAAAGTACTGGAAAATAAAAAAGTGTATAAATAATTGTTGACCCAGAATTTAATACTGTAGAGAAAATATATTTCAAAAATGAAAAAAATACTTTTTCAGATAGACTAAAACAGAGAGAATTTACAGTATTTACTTGTGCTACGAGGAATATTAAGGGTAGTTTTTCAGCCAGGAGAAATATTCTACAAGCCAGAAATGTGGATCTACATGAAATGGTTTGGAGATAGTGACACCCCTGGGATACTTGGAAGATAAACACACATCCCCTCCCCAGGGATGTACCCTCTACTGCAATATGGCAGCCCTGATACCTACGATATGGCGGACTGGGTAACCTGAAAACTCTTCCACCAGAAGATACCTAGAAAGACTGGATAAAATATGACATAAAAATGTGTAGCTGAACATGCACAAAAATAAAGAAAACTCACAGGATTCCAAACAAAGAGGAAGCTAAATACTGGAGCGGTAACCCACCGAGCTAATGCTAGGTCTGCCCTCAGTTCCCAACTTCCTAGAAGCCTGGGTTTTCAACAGCCCTGCTGGACTGGTACCAAATTTCCATATAAACCTGGTTAACTTGAAGGGCTACCAAAACACTCTCCCATCCACAAAAGGAAAATTGTCTGTCTTGGTATTGAGTCAGGGAAACAAAGTTTCTCTAGGAAGTTCATAACTTTGGACTTATGTCTTATATAGGTTTGGGGTTTAAATAAATGCAACCACTCTAGGAACTCCTAGGCCAAGAAGCTACCAAAAGAGAATTTCATAGTAGTCTAACCTTTGAGAACTAGGCAGAAGCAAATGTTAATCCTTTCTGGAGAGATGTGTTCTTAAACTAGCAAGGGATTCCATAGATAAAAGCCCTTCTGAAAATAGTTTAAATCCAGCTCCATATAAGCAATATATTTTTAACTTTTATTTTTATTTTTTTCCTAGTTCAGAATTTAGCTTAATTGACTTAAATGAAGCATCTGAAAGTGAATCTTCTATCCACCTTGTTGAAATTTTGATTTTAAACGCATACATAAAAACCCACTGGAAACCAGCTTTGGTAAAAGGTTCAGAAACAGTATAAGACTTATGTAAAAGACATTACATCATTGCTACTTCAGAATTAATTATAATTCAGTAAACACTATTTTTTTCTTTTTAAGTTATAGGAAAGAACTTGACCCCTTTCTTCCTGTCTTTCCAAGGGGGTCAATCTTGTTAAGGCCCCACTGATCAGCCACCATTCTCATGTCCCATAACAAATTGTTCTTTCTCATCTTATAAGAGAGTTCCTTGACAGCTGGGATTGCCTTCTCATCCTTTCTATTGTCTCATGGTGTCTACCCTGTAGCTACTCCATAAATATTCAGATTAAAATCTCACTCCACCACTCGCCAGCTCTGTGCTCTTGAAGAAGTGATACAACCTCTCTCTGTCCCTCAGTTTTCTCATCTTCAAAGCCAGAAATAGCAGGTTCTCACATCTCCCTCTCTGAACTTCTCTTCTGCTTCCCTCTTCTACTTTTAAAAACCCTTGTGATTACACTGGGCCTATCAAGAGAATCCAGAATAATCTGCCCATTTTAATTACACCTGCAACCTTAATCTCCCTTTGCCATGTAACATTACACAGTTACAGCTTCTCGGGATTAGGACGTGGACGTATCTGGAGGGCTGTTATTCTGCCTACCACACCAGCATAGCTCAATGGAAGAAAAAACAAAACAGCAAATGCGTTACACAGCACTTGCCATGCACCTGCGGCTTATTCTTTTCCTCACAACGAGCCTATGAGGTGGCTACTATACTTTTCCCCATTTTCAGATGAGAAAACTGAGGACCATGAGCCAAGGAATGTGGACAGCCCCCAGAAGCTAGAAAAGGCAAAGAAATGGGTTCAAAGCCTCCCAAAAGAAACACGGCCCTGCTCCCACTTCGATTTTAACCCAGTTAGACTTCTGACCTACTGAAATGTAAGATAAAAAATTTGTGTTGTTTCAAGCCATGAAATATGTCACAATTTGTTACAACAGCGATAGAAAACTAATCCAGCTGGGTATTAAAATTCTTGGTCAGGGCCAGCCCGGTGGCGCACTCGGTAGAGTACGGTGCTTGGGAGTGTGGTGGCGCTCCCGCTGAGGGTTCGGATCCCATATAGAGACCGGTCAGCTCACTGGTTGAGCACGGTGCGGGCATGACACTGAGGGTTGCGATCCCGTTGCTGGTCGCGGTATGGGCGCGACACTGAGGGTTGCGATCCCGTTACCGGTCACGAAAAAAGACAAAAAGAAAAAAAAAAATTCTTGGTCAGAACAAATATGTTTATAAATTCCCATGAGCTGCTCTCTATACTAAGGACTTTTATCCAATGTTAAAAAACTAAACAGGTTAGAGGATTTAGGAAAAGATGGATAGAAGTTATTAAACCGATCCCGTTGCTGGTCGCGGTATGGGCGCGACACTGAGGGTTGCGATCCCGTTACCGGTCACGAAAAAAGACAAAAAGAAAAAAAAAAATTCTTGGTCAGAACAAATATGTTTATAAATTCCCATGAGCTGCTCTCTATACTAAGGACTTTTATCCAATGTCAAAAAACTAAACAGGTTAGAGGATTTAGGAAAAGATGGATAGAAGTTATTAAACCTTGAATTTTAGTTTCATTTTAGGATGAGAAGGATGTCTCCCCCACATCCGTGAAGTCTCCCAGATTTGCAACTGGAGATTGTAACAAGCAGTTTCTCCCCAAATACTATTCTAGCAAATTACTTGTGCTTACTAGATTTAGCTATAATCAATCAGAAACAAGAGCCAAAGGAATGCATACCTACGGGTTTTGATCTGAAACACAGCATCTTTGTTGCCAATATTCCGTACCAGCAGAATCTTCTGAGTGCTGTATTTGACAGGGCAAGTGGAAAAATTCAGCTTGTCGGGAAAATCTATGATGGCTCGTGCCCCTCTAGCTTTGATGGGTACAACAAACTTTTCTCTCTCAGTAACACAGGTCAACATATGGGCATAATCCTATAAGGAAAGGGTACAATCATTATTTGTGGAAAAACCAACATGATCAAGATAATTGTGCAAGAAAAATGGTCATATGCCAGGCAGTTTGCAAACCAACTTAGTGTATTTCTATGAAAACTCCTCTCAAGACAGTTACAGATGAGATTCTCTTTTTCTGAGAGAGGACAGTTCAAGTGTTAAAACCTGCAAGCCAGTAGAGAAGCTTATGCTTCATGTGTTTCCCAGATATAGGGGGGTGGGATGGGAGACAGTGATGGTTAGGGCACATTTTTCTTTAGATCAAAGGAGATTCATACAGGTTCCCTCATGTCCTCTTTCTGAACCCTGTTTATCCATCAAGCCCATGTGTTAGGATGACGATTCTAATTAATGGTCTCTTTATGCCCTTACTCTTTGCAATGTGACTTTGCAGTTCCTCCATCAAGAGAGGAGCATATTTCTCCACCCTTTGCTTTCGGTAATAGAATGTGGCAGACGTTATGCTATGCCAGTTTCGAGCTGAGGCCTCAAGAAGCTTTAGGCATTTCCAGTCTTGCTCTTGGAACCCTGCCCTGCCATGTGAATTGTTGTCTAGACTACTACAGGATGTGCGTCCAGATGTCCCACAGCCACAGCTGTGCTAGACCAGCCTACACCAGCTGATCCCCAGATATGTGAGAGAGCCCAGCCAAAATGAGCAGGGCTGCCTACCCACGGCATGAATGGGCCCAGGCAAGACCACAAAAACTGCCCAGCTGAACCACAGTCTCACGAGCAATAATAAATGCTTATTATTTAAACCACTGAATTTGAGGGTGGTCTGTTATTATACAGTAATATCTAACTGGTACGTAGCCCAGTTTAAACCCCACCTTCTGTGCAAAGCCATTATCGATCATTCCCAATAAAAATGCTGAGGCCCTAAGCACCTATCTTTCCCAGTCTTGAGTCTAAATGGAACAGAAATGTTGAATAAAGTCACTTTGTATATCATCTAAGATAAATATAGAACTCTCACCAGTATTATAGCAAAGAAAAATCTAAAACTGAACCCTCACCAACAAACAAAACTAAATGCAAGAGAAAAGCATTAACAGTTCACTCAAGAAAAGGCCAAAAGTTCAGAAGTCACCGTGAAAACAATTTGTTATAAACCAGGTTTATTTTTCTTCATTTTAGGTTTTTCCATCATTTTAGTGTGCATTTTAGTTGTAAGGCAATCTTGATAAATGTAAAGTTACTTTGAATTTTTAAGTTTCCTTTCTGTAATGATGTAGTAAATTGTATGAAGTGGTGGAGGCTTTTTTCGAAAACGCTCTCTTTGGGCTCTGGACAGAGTAGGAATGGGTATGTCTGACATATAGATTGATACACAGACCTGGCCATGCACTCAGCTTCATGAAACTACAGAACAAGTACAAGGCAGTGTCATCCCCAATTAGTTTTATTCATTCAATCAAGCTTATTAAGTGCCAAGTGCTGGTTCAGTGTGAGGTCTAGGAATACAGTTGATTAGGAAACGTGGACAAGGGTCATGGCCCTCTTCCAGCTTGCATAAGGATGGAGGAGACAGTCAAAGATGAATAGAGGATATATAACATACAATGAAATATTTATGTAAATATCTTACAAAGATAAAGTAGCCAGGAATGCTCAACAACATAGCCTTTACAACTGCAGTTCTCTCTGTCCCCCTGAACTCCAAACTCACACCCAGCTGCCCAGCCAGCATCTCACTGGATGTGAACTTATCATGTCCCAAACCAAAGCCCCTGATTAATGCCATTGCCCTCAACTGTGCACAAAGATGCCCTGGCAAGGGGCAGGATGGGGTCTGAAACCCAGCTCAGTTGTCTGGCCCCAACAGCATCAGCCTAGAGGGGTGACCTTTTGCTAGTACCCCAAAGGCTCCACAAAGCCAGCTGAGGTCCTGTTCCTGACCTTCTCTCCACGCCAGCCCCAATCCCTCACAGCCTCCTGGTCTCAGTACTAGCATCTCCTTACGTCCAGTGGCCTGGATTTAAGACCCTGGAATGAGGCATCCTTTATTGCTCTATTTCCTAATTTCTTGGTAAATCCTGTAGGACCTACTTTCAAAATACATCTGGACTGCAGTCACTTCTTCCTCCTCCACCCCTGATACCCTGGTTGTAGCCACTCCAATCCTCCCTGGGATAACAGGACTCTCTATTTCAACTCTCACTCCTCCAAAGTCTGTTTTCCACCCAACGGCCAGAGAGACCCAGTTCAAATATAAGTCAGCTCAGGTTGCTCCTCTGGTCAGAATCACCAGGCTGAGAGCAGAGGTGCTCATGGGGGCACCACAGCCTGGCCCCCCGTCACTTCTCTGGCCACATCTCCTCCTCTTCCCCTGGCTCATCTCTGCTGCTGCAAACGTCCCCTTCAGAGCCTTTGCATGTGAGGTCTCTCTGTCCAGAATATGCTTCCCTCTTTAGGATCTGGCACAACTGTCCACTCTCTCATGTGGCCTTCCATGGCTGCCCTGCTTTTAACTCTCCCTTTCCTGCCCCATCGCTCTCTCACCTTCCATCCTGCTTTAGTTTTCCCCAATACTGTCTAACAATTTGCATATTCTACCTACTTGTTGAGTTCATTGTATGTCCCCCCAGCACCTCCAGGTCAACAGGGATTTTGCCCATCTTCCTGACTTCTGTACACCCAGTGTCTACAAGAGGGCCTGATAGCAACATTCAACAAATATTTGCTGAATGGAAGATAATAAGTAATATAATGTTGGGTAGTGGTGGATGAAGAAAAGTAAAGTATGGTAAGGGGACAGAAAGTGATTGGAGAGCTCTTTTACAGAGGGTGGTCAAGAAAGGCTTCTGTGAGGAGGTGGCACTTTGGAGGAGCCCTAAATGAGTAAGGAATGAAGCCATATGGATAGACGGCTCTGGGGGAAGCATGAATCGGACCCTGTGGCCAGAGGAAAGCAAGGAGAGTGGTTAGACATGTGGATGAGAAGTTGTGGGACCAGATCCCAAGGATCTTGTGAGCCATTTTTAGAACCCAAGGATGCGAAAAGCTGATCAGGTTGTAACCTGACTTATGTTTTAGAGAAAGCACTGGCTGCTACATGGGCAGGCGACTGCAAGGAGGCCACAATGGGAAAGCGAGGCCAGTTAGGAAGCCACTGCAGTAGTCCAGGTGGATGATACTGACCTGGACTGGTGTGGCCACGTGCTTAGCCTAGTGTTTGGTAAGTAGTAAGTACTCAATAAATGTTAGCTGGCATTATTAAAATTTTGTATTAAATACAATGATTTATGTAAAGCATATAAGAAAAACTCAAAATGTGTTTACTCTTATTGTTAGGATACTAATAATGTTAATACTTAGAATGATAATAATAATAGAACAAGATAATTTCAGAAAGTGACAAGGGCTTTGAAGAAAATAAAACATGGTAAAGAGATAATATGGGAAGGGACTGCTTTAGATTAGAAGAACCCAGGAGGCCTCCCTGAGGAGGTGACCTTGGGATGGAGACTCGAATAGCAAAAGGAGCCAGCCTGGTGAGATCTAGAAAGAGAGTGTTCCTGGCAAGGGGAATTGCAAACATAAAAGTACTAAGGTAGAAGTGAGTAATAAAAATTAGTGGACAGTATTAATGAAATCTATTGAAGTTGAGTTGTTAGACTCTTAGCTCTGTAGTTGATTCTGGTTTCAAGATGGTAAGACCAGGTTCAAAAATTATGCTATCCAGAGACACAAGGAAGTGAAAATATCACTGAGCAAACTTGATCTTAGAAAACCCCACAGAATTCAAAGCAACAGTCTAGTCTCATTACAACAAAATCCTAAAGAGATAAATAGTGTTTTCACTTTTTCTTTTCTTTTTTTCCTTTTTTTGTCTTTTTTCGTGTCCGGCAACAGATTGCAACCCTTAGTGTCGCGCCCGTACTGTACCGGGACTGGCAACGGGATCGCAACCCTCGGTGTTGCGCCCGCACCTCGCTCAGCCAGTGAGCGGGAACCGGTCTGTATGTGGGATCCGAACCCTCGGCGGGAGCGCTGCTGTGCTCCCAAGCGGCGCACTGTAGCAGCGCGCCACCGGGCCAGCCCGTGTTTTCACTTTTTCAAAGGAGAGTAAATCCAGCCATCACAGGTGTTGTTGGGATTATAAACTGGAAAGCACCTGACACATGTGGAAATTTAAAATTAATCAAAGCTTTGAGACAAAGAACAAAAGATGCTGCTGAATCCAAGCTGAGAGCAGACCATGAAGTGTTTCATCATCTTTTATTCTGTATTCACATATCATACTCTGCCTTGTTCTATAAAGAATTTAAGACAGCTGAAAATAGGAGGCTAATTGAAATATTGAGAGGGATGTTTTGGAGCCTTTTCAAGTTCCCAGATGAGGAAGGTTTGAAGTTTGATCACAATTATATATATTTTCACAATCAATTCACATATCCATCAATAAAAGAATGTGAAGAAAGACTTTAAACAATTCCTTTAAAATGTACTCCAATCTTTGAAGTTATGCATTTAATATGACTATATTAGATTACGTAATATACCATTAGATATTGCTCCACTGGCCTAAAATTAATTCAGATGTTATGACTTGTGAGGCTCTGGCAGCCTGCAAGCTAAGCAATTACTTCAGTTCCATGTACTTTTTTCACTGTACTTAGATTCAGAGCCATCAGGTCACCACTGAAAGCCAAATATTTAATAACAATGCTTTCCAGATGAAACTTCCAAACCATTATTAGCTTTCCTTCCAACATGCTCATTCTCCAACCTTTAAAAAACCATCAGTAGAATATAAAAATGGCAGATATGACTTTCTCAGAAATGAAAAGAATGAGTCTTGATTTTTCATTAGCACCATGATAGAAAGCAAATGTGACAAAAAATAGAAAAAACAATCCTAACATTCACATAGAACAACAAAAGACCCCAAACAGCCAAAGCAATCCTGAGCAAAATAAATAAATAAATAAATAAATCCAGAGGCATAACACTACCTGGCTTCAAATTATACT